AGGTACTGAGAATAATTTTTGGGAAAATAGAAGAAGGCTCTGCTCCTGTTTGAAACTCATGAGAGCTGCGCTGCTTTCCTCATGCCCAGGGATGCTAATACTGGGCGGGTTGTGCCTGAGTCCCACGTCTGGAGATTATCCTCTCCTTGTGCTGAAGCTTGGGGAAGGTTTCAGGTGGAAACACTGTCCTTTGCTTCTCTTGGAGCCATGAGCCAGAGGAGTAACAAACAGCACAGATCGAGTAACAGATTATCATTTAATGCTGGTCTCCTGTTGATCAGGCCTGGAAAGCAGAGCAGTCTTTCCCCATCCTAAGAAAATGCAATTGAAAATTGCAATTTTCAATTTGTTTGAAAGCAAATTTTCAAATTATTGGAAATTGCAACATAAATACAAGGTGCCAACCTTTCCTTCTAATGTATGAGCTCCTCATCCCAGAAGTAAGGGATCATAGGAAGATCTGCCAGGCACCTTCACAGCTTTCCTACTCATCTCTGTGCTCGTTCTCCTGCAGTTCCTCATGCCTCCTCTCAACAGGGGACTCTTGCCAGCACCATAGCAAGTGCCTTTGGAGCCACCTGAGCCGCCCTCCACTAGTGTCCAGCATTTCCAAAGCCTCCTGACCACAGGCAGGGCAGGACTTCACAGCAGCAGGGGGAAATAGAGAGGGGTGTGCCCATTTTTGGTTGAGAGCAATGAGCTTCACTAGACAGACAGTGCTCCTGGAGTTCCTCAGGCCATGATGGCGCCTTGTTTCAGCAGGCATTGCCAGTGACTGGCATCTTAAACTGCTGCTCTTATCATTGCATGTGGAAGTCTTTTTTTTTTTCCTTCCTGAAACTGAGATTTCTCCAGCTCTGGAGGGCAGTCTTCCAGAGCTGCGCAGAGTTTGTGTATTCAGAGACCTGGAGAACAGGCATCGAAATGGGTGAAGAAATGTAGAAGTGAGGCTTCAGGGTGATCTGCAAGGCAGGGAAACAAATCAAGTAGTGATTTGTTGGCTGATGGCAGGTTGCTAGAAAGCAGCCTAGTGGGAGGACTGCATCCAAGTGCCCCTTAGGATTGTGAGATGCCCTGGAGGTTCCAGGGTCACGTGGTGACGAGAGAAATCCCAGCTGATGGAGAAAGGCTGGTGCAGGGCAATGGCTGAGCTCCTGATAAAGCTCGTTTTTCTTCTGAGTCCAGGATAAAGCTGCCAGTTCTGATTAAGCAGCCAGGGACAAGTTGGTTCACAGGATGAGGCACTTGCTTGAGCAGGACCCAGAACCAGAATGCCAGCTCACCCCCGCCCTGGGCCCTCTCACCTGCCCTTGCTCCTGCTGCATCAGGGAGATCCTGCAGGGGCAGGGGCTGCAAGTGTCCTGTGGTAAAAATTCCCTCCATGCCAAGTACCAAAGAGGAATCACTGTGAGAACAACAAGCATTGTTGTGGTGCTGAGTTCACTCTTCAGCACCAAGAAGCTGAAGAGTGAAAATACAGCTGAAGAGCTGTATTTTTGAGTAGAGAGAAAGCAGTCTGTGGGTCTCTGCACAGAAGATTGTCATTATGAGGGATCTGTTATTACAGGACTTAATTTCTTACACTGTGTCCCACAGCAAACTGAAGAGGCTCCTGCCGATAGAGTCTCTTCCTAATGAGAAAGCTGCTCTGCCTTTGACACCTCTACATCAGCTGTCCCAGGGATTTATTACATGCAGGTTCCAAGTGCTCATGTTTGGGAAGCCTGCATGGAAAAGCAGATAGGCTGCCACTGTCCTTCCCAGCCATGAGTTGAGGTTTTTGCTCTGATGCCTCTGTGCTGATGCTGCTTTGGCTGTTTATGATGAGTTCTGCCAGATGACCCCACATCCAATCCTTCAGAGTCTGTTTTTTCTGCTTTTCCAGTAAGTTGATCTGAGAATAAAAAAGCTGCATGGGAGAAAAAGTATTTAATTAGATTGATACCAGCCAGGGAAGGCAGGAGAGGGGCTGCTAGCTTGGCAAATCCAATTTGGTTTCACTGAATGGAGGAGTCAAGTTAACTCTGTAATCTCCAGGAATGCCTCCTTCCCTTCCCATTTGCTTAGGTGAGTAGGACCTAACAGAGGGGAGAGTGTTGTGGAGGCTGTACAGCCCAGGCTTTATTTGGACTACATTAAATTCCAGCCAAAGACTAAAATGATCAAAGTCTTGAACTGTAACTGAGACTGCAGTCCCTGGGTAGCAATGAGAAGTATGTAGCTGGGGGAAACATCAGCTTTTCTTTTGGGAAATCTCAGATCTCTTCTGATGTCCTGACCCCTCATTTCAGTGGAATCTTTGTGGGAAGAGGTTGTCTGCTTCCTTGTAACACTCAATGGATCCTATTGCTGGTCCAAAATGAAGAAGACAGCAGAGGATGGAAGCCTCAACTTGGAGGGCTGGCTGGGGAGGCTGGAGAAACTTAGCTTTGATGGGAATCTGTGGATGGAAATGTCTGTGGGATGGTAGTCTTTGTGTCACACCGCATCCATCAGTACCTGACCTGAACTGTCATTGCCCTTCTTTGCACCCTGAAACCCATGTGAGCCAGAAAGATGGACCCAGGGTTTAGCCCAGCACAGGAATTTTCTGGGCAGAGGGAGGGAGCAGGATGGAAGGAGGGGCAAGAGAAAGGCATCCTTGTTGGAAGGTGGGGGTTCTACTGCTAATAAGCAGCTTGTACCCATCTGAGGATGGGTTGGAAAGAAGAGTCTATTTCTTTTCTGCAGCAGACAGCTTCATCTCTGACTTGATTTCCAAGAAGCTGTATGAACAGTAGGGGGTTTCACTGACTGTATTATTTCCATTTTGATTTCCTTTCAGTTTGCCTCTCATTGCTCCTGCAGCATTTTCCTTTGCTGGGATGCTCACAGACCCCTTGCTGGGCACAAATGCATCATCCCCACCCTTGGCAGCCCGAGCAGTGCACAGCAGCTCAGCCAGCACACCCACCTCCCACACCCAGCTACAAACCAGGGTCTGGGGAAAACGGGGCACACTGAGGATCCGGGCTGCAGCTTTCTGCAGGGACCCAAACCACCTGTGAAACACCTGCCCAGTGAAGGATGAAATGCTGATGGCTGATGTTGGCTTCCTCAGTATCTCCAGCAAAGCTGAGGCAAGCTGAAGCCATTTGATGAGGAAAATTATTTCCATTTAACTGTGCATGTATTTGGATTTTTTTTTCTGTAAAGGTGAGGAGCAAAGTCCTACCACAAATCCAAATATTTGGTTAGGTTTGTTGTTCCCTAGTCTGTTCATGAAAACCCAAATGTTTCATTTCACATCAATACTTTGAGTCTGGCCCAAAGAATGAGGCATTTGTCAGCTGCCCCTCATTTTTGTTTCCAGATCAACAATCTGCACTTTTATCCATGTTTTCCCATGTAGAATTTGATGAAGCCTTTTTGCAAAGCTGGGGGTTTGGCCACAGGCTCCTTATTTTGCTCTTTACTTGGCAATAGTTGCCATTTATTATTTATTATCAATATCAGCTTAATAAAACAGCACTGCAGGTGTCCTCAGCCGGAGGGTTCCTTGACCCACAGCAGGACCAGGCAATGGTTGTGCAAATGCTTCCAGCCTCAAGGGTCCTACTGAAGCACATTAATTTTTTTTTAAGTTTTTCAAAACACAGGTTTGAGCTCTTCAGCCTTGAGCTTTACTGCACAGCACAAAGCTGAAGCCAAAGTCCTTATTTAAAAGTGTTCATTACTTTTTAAAATACTGCCTACTTCTAACTCTTATTTATTCCTCTGAGGAAATAAGCCAAGGCAGAGTGGTTGCTGAGTTTGGTACATGAGCTGCACACACAGAAGCTATCTTCAGTGTGTTGCTTTAATACTAGTGCCACTAGGTCCACAGTTCAATATTCTTCTCAAATTTACAGTGTTCCACAGAAAGTCCAGCTGGATGAGTAAAAATTGTTCTGAGCTGTTTTTTGTTAGTTTGTTTTTCTTCTCATTCAGGCTTAGCTGAGTCACCTAAAGCAATTGGAGAAGCTGAACACATTTTAGGCATGCAGTAGGATAGCCACATTCTCTCTGCAGGCTGGGATTTTAGCTGGTTCCAGTCACTTCGAGTTAAGTTTTGCAATTCCACTCCTAAGAACCTTAAATCCATTGTGTGCAGTACTTGAGGTGGGGCAGAACAGCTAAGCTGTGCATCTATGTGGTGTCCCCTGTATCTATAGGGTATTTCAGTAGAGGATTTTGTGGGGAGAACAAAGGCTTAGCTGGTGCAGTCAGAAGGGGAATCCATCATCTCTGCTCCTTTTTCCCCCTTTGCAGGTATGGTATGAAATCAAAATCCCTCTCTGCCAGCACTGAGAGTGCCTGGGATGACAAGAATGCTCAGATGGATGGGCACTTATCAGCCACATCCTCATGCGCAGGTAACAATGAAAGTCCTTTAAGTCCTCTTGTGAAAGCCCTTTAAGCTTGAAGGTCTTTTTTTGTCTCCAAACTGGACCTGGTTTCACTGGAACTGTGTGAGATGCCAGATAAATACAGGTAGTTAAAATAAGGTGTTACTTCTTGCCTGCTCTTCCTCCTGTGAGAGCATGGGGAGAATCAGGTGTGAGAGGCTCTTCTCAGTGTCCTGAGCTTTGCATCTAATCCCATAAAATCTCCACGTCTCCATCTCTGCCAAATGGCAGGGTGCTTTCACTTGCAAAATATTTCAAATCATGGGTAGTGTTTCCTCAAGTTAGTTTTATTAAAGATATTATTAGTAAGAAACCAGTTGTCATGATCATAATACCAGGGGACTTTGTTGGTTATCAGCCATGCAAACCATGTTAGAAACTGATGAACATCTCTTTCCTAAAAACCTGGATCAGTATGCTCCCTGTCTGGGGCAGATGGGCTTTGGGTCCTGGGAAGAGAGATGACCCCAAAAAGTGATCTTGATGCCATGGAGCAGTGCCAGGTGCCTTCATCCCACGCCGGAGATCAGGCAGCTACCATGGGGCACATGAGGCCACCACTGACAGGCAGCCATGGTGGGAAACACTGGGAAGAAGAGTTTGAAGGACACGTTCCATGGGGGAGCCCTCAACCTAAGGCAAGGCCAGACTTTTGGCAATGAGGCAAGGACAGATGACAAAGAAACCTGTGGTGTGACTCTGCTCTAGCCTGCAAGGGACTTGGGCAGGTGTTCCCTAAAAATTCAGACTTTTCCCTGTCATTGCCTAATGAGTTCCTCTCCCGTGCTGGGGTTCCCCACCTGAGCATGGTCAAGGAGTGCTTGTGGCCTTGCTGTTGCGTTAAGATCTTAACGATACTTTTTCTGAGGTCCAAAGGTGACCCCAGGCTGCTGTCCAGGGAATCCCTGTACTGAGATGCTTCCATGCTGCTGTTTAAGCACATCAGCTTTACAGCATCTCCTTTTTCTTTGCACTCTGGAAAAGCTGGACATTGCTGTGTGATCTCTGTTGTGATCTCTCTGAATGAGTTTCCTGAGTAAAACACAACTCAGTTCCTCAGGGGTTTACCCCCCCCCCCCCCCCCCCCCCCCAGATCAAATAGGAACCTTCTCAGGGCAAACGTTAAATACTTTTAAAAAGCCTTTTCTGCTGCTTCTGAGAACATTTCTAAAGTAATCATTATGTGAATAAAATTGAAATATGTATATAATGATTCAAAGGCAACCTAGAAATAACTGTAAGGGTCTCAAAGGAGATAATAATGATTCTAGGAGCACCCATGGAGACCAGCTCAATCCCAGGTGCCTAAAATCACTGCAGGTGAATAGACAGGTGACATTTAAATCAAATCTACTCCCAGGCTGGGCCATCATGAATATAATGCTCTACCAGTACAGAGACCTTAAACCTCATGGTTTCTCCGTGGGGTTTATTGTAGGAGGAAGATGATGCAGGTTTCTGTTTGTCTTCGTCCTCTGGCTTCTCATTCTGGTGAGGGATACCCACCCGATGGCTGTGAGGAATGAGAAGGTGAGAGAACTCTGCCTGCTCCTGCTCTGCTTTCACAAACCAAGGAGAGTTACCAGCCTCAGAAAATTCCCCTTTCTCCCCTTAAACTCCACTAGTTCTCTGAAGCCTCACATTTCCCACCAGCACTTCTGCCTTCGTTCGGGGGGATTTGAAACTTTAAAGGCCGTTTGCAAGCGGCGCACGGCTGTTCCGAAGCGGGGGCTGCGGGGTCGGGCCGCTCCAGCCTCCCTCGACGGCCGAGCTCCATCGCGCCACAACCCACAGCCGAGAGAGATCCGGGCGGGCGGAGGTTGGTGGGACGAGCCCCGGGAAGGGGGAGACTCCCCCCCGGCGACCCCAGTGGGGCCGCCCCCGGGGCGGGGCCGGCACCCTGAAAGCCGGGCCCGGCGGGGGAGCCGGGGCAGAGGCTGCGCCGCCGACTGAGGGTGAGGGCGGGGGCCAGGCCGGCAGCAGGAGCAGCAGCACCATGGAGAGCGGCGCCGACGGGCGCCTGGACGCCGCCGCCTTCCTCGGGGCCTGGCGGCGCTTCGACGCCGACGGCAAGTGGGGATAGGCGTGGCGGGAGCCGGCTGAGGGGTGCGGGGGTGCCGGGCCCGCTGGGTGCCGTGCAGGGGCCTGTCCGTGCAGGGGGGAGCGCGACCGCCGGGCTGGGTGCGGTGTGGGTGCCTGGGATGCTGCACATGGGGCCGACGTGTCCGAGCTTTACATCCACGAGGTCCTGCAGGTGTTTTCGAGCACTCCCTCTTCCTCCTCACCGTGACTATCATAGCTGTCATTTCCACCCCAAAAGTTTTGCTTTTTCATCACTTCCTCGTTTAATCTGCTGCTCTCTCTTTTTGTCCCGGTTTGGGACTTTTTTTGTTTCTGAAAAGTTTTCCGTAAGAAAAACTCCAAAGGGAGCGCCGCAGCTGTGCCCAGCCTCACACAGAAGCGATCAGATGAAATTGAATAGATGTGGGGCTCCCCTGAGTGGGCAGACAGGGCCCCCGGCTGAGATCCTGACCCTGAAGCCTTGAGCTACCTGCATGCAGCCCATGACGGATCCTGGAACTTGGGCAGTACCATTAATATATTTGCTCTTTATTTAGACAATGGCTACATAGAAGGGAAGGAGCTTGACGATTTTTTTCATCATCTCCTGGAGAAACTGGGACCAGAAGTAAGTAACTGTGCCGCATTCATTGCCCATCGGGTGCAAGCAGAAAAGTTATGCTGAGAGATGGTTTGTGTTTGCTGTTCCATGAGTGCCGACTTCCTTAGCAGCCCCAAGGTAAAGAGCTTTTCTTTTGGACACGGGGTGGCATTTAAGCACGTACAACAAGTGCAGTCAGCTGAGTGGTTTGATCAGTTGTTTCCAGCCCAACAGATGCTGGTCAGGGGGAGATTGCAGGTGGCACTAGCTGAAGGGGCTGGTTGGCAGCGTGGAGAGAAAGTCATTTACTGTTGCTGAATAGAACCAAGTGAAAAAGCACGGGCACACAGCCTGGCTGGCTGAGGGAAGGGCAATGTTCATGGTTTATTTGTTCAAGCCTGTGGTGATTAGTTTTGTTCATATAATAGGTTTCTTTCCCAGGTCAATTTTTAACAAATATACTGTTGTTCATTTTAAATGGTGCGTAGGAAGAAGGCTTAGGTCTATATTGCTGCAAATGTCTAAAAGCCAAAAGAGCATCATTTCTGTTGCTTGTAAGACCCAGACCTGTCTCTACAGAGTTTCTGGGCTTCTCCTCTGGTTTCCTTTCCTGGTTTTGGCAGCATTTCCTCTCTCTCATTGTCTGCATCTCTGTACAAACAGAAGTTGCACTACAATTTACAGGGGCTGCTTTGCTCAGCTCCAGGTCATATCTTGCCTATGAGTGGCATCAATGAAGGAGAAATCCTGCCACTCAGGCTAGCATTCAGAAGTTTACAAAGGACATAGTAATATTTTTACTACACAGAGTCTGCCCAGATAGGGAAAGGAGGAAACGTCTTCCAAATGGAAGGAGGAGGTGTGCCAAAAACCAGAGATGAAACAATTCCTTTAAGCAAAATTAATTAACAAAGACAGAAAAGGTAGCTGATAAAAGGCATAAATTCATGAGTATCAAGTGTAAAATCAGAATTGTACTTGCAAGCCAATTAGTACTCTTAGATCTTTAGGGCTGCAATTAAAAAAAATAAAATCTGTGAGTAATTTTTTCAAGCATATTTTTATTTAATTTGCAAGTAAATTTGGATTGAAATATTGTCAGTTTCTACAGAAATGTCTTTCAGAGCATGGATGGTTAGATGAAGAGATAGGCATGTAAAAAGGCTTCAAATGAATCAAAAAAGATTCAGCAACGAGAATATTTAGGGACACAGAAAAGCTGATTTAAAGAGAAATCAGAAAGTTTGTGATTGTTTACCCAGGAACAAAAGATTGAATTGGAAGCTTCTAGTCTTGGGGTACTGAAACAGCAGCAAAAAGCATGCTCAAACAAACTCCATGACAGCAAACATGGGATGTTGAAGGAGATGCTTAAAATGAGGCTGCAGAAATCAGTGCTGCGGTGGGACCTCCAAGTGGGGCTCTCTGGAGTGAGCTGATGGTGATAAAATCCAGGGATAATCAGAGATCTCGTTCTGAAAGGAGCTTCCTAAGGATTTGATTCAAGAGGAGCTCCAAGCCCTGCTCTAGCCCATAGCTGCCCTTGTGTATCCCTCACATGAGGTCCTGGGACAGCTGAGTAGCAAACCTCATGTGTTATAGCAGTTTTTGTGGTCTTACTGATTCAAATGTGAACTCCATTACATTGGCATTTAGCAGCATGCAGAAATTGCAAAATGAGGGTGTTCTAGCAATGAACTTCCGGCTTTAAGAAATCAATAATAGTTTTATTGCTTGTTAGAAGTCCCTGCTTGGATGACTCCAGCTTAACTCAGCACCCTGATCCAGTTTGCATCTCCTTTACTTCTGCTAGCTAAGTTTTGCCATTAAAAGAGATAGTTTAACACAAAAAGAATGGAGAAAGGACCAACTCCCTCTCCTCCTATTAAATAGAAGAAACGGGCAAATTCTGAAGGACCACACTCACTAACTTTCAGAGTGCTCAGACAGGCTCTCAAGTGCTTTTGGTTTTTTCCCTCTAGTCTTCTTGCCTATTTTTGGCAGTGTTTCCACTCTGGTAATATTAGTGATAAAATTGCATGGCAGGTTGCAGGCAGAGCAGGCTGGTTTTGTGGCAGAAAATCCAAGGGGAGCTTTGTCCTGGGAGGCAGAGAGCAGTCCTCTGTGCATGGGGGTCAGTTGAGCACCAAGTTAAACAAAGGTCTTAACTACCTTTGTACAATGAGTTTGTCTAACAACATTGAGCCATTTTTCTCTTTTTCACATGATTTATATTAGACAGGCTTGTATTATGGCAGGAGGGGTAAAGGGTCCCCTCTGCATTGGTTTTACCATCCTACAGAAAGTGTCCTCAGTGATAAAAGCAGTGAGCTGTGACTGATCATCTCTCTGCTCTACCACTCATCTTGACCTTTACTCCTTTGGGTTCTTAATGTCTTAGTTTCCTTGCACAGTAAAAGGGGGAGGCAGCAATACACTGGCACAACTTACAGATGTGTCACAAGGATTAATTAGTGGCTATGTCTGAAGTGCTACACAAGTGATAAATAATGTTATCAGCACTAGAAGTTGTCTCTACTTGAATAGAGAATGGCTTCATAATTATATTTTCTCGGCCTGCATTCTCTAAGCTGTTATTTTTCTTAATGACCACTGTGGTCCTTCTGCTCTGTTTTTCCTCCCAGTTACTCTGCAGCATCCCCAGCTGACACTAAATGCCAGGGGATGGGAGCAGCTGGAAAAACAATGCAGAAAAAAAAAAAAAAGCTGAGAGACACAGCTCTTCCTGACAACTCTGAGAGAGGAAAGAAACTTGAAATAGCATCCAGTGATAGAGGCCAATTTCTTGTCTTTTATTGAACCATCACCAATTGTGGGGGGAAAGGAAAAACTTTGCAACAAAGGTGGACTTGTAATAAACCAACCAAATCCTAGGTGCTGCTTCCTGTCCCTTCTCCAGCAGTGGGTGGTTGCTGGAGGCATTTGGACAATGCACTTAACAACACACTTTAACTTTTGTACAGCCCCAAAGTGGTCAGACAATTGGACTAGATGTTTGCTGTAGGTCCCTTCCAACTGGAATATTCTATTCCATTCCAAGTCCTAAGAAAATCCCGTCAGCTTCCAGGTGTGTGTAATTCATCCTCATGCTAGCATTCCATCTTCTAGCTGCTGATATCAGCCACCTGTTTCTCTTATCACTGCTGTGACTTCTCACTAACCATTTGAGCCTCCAGTTTCCAAGCTGCTACTGCATGGCTGTCGTGAGCTGCCTGAGCTCTCTTCTGCTCTTTCATAAACCTCTTTCTTCTACATTCTGGCAACTCTAATATCCACATATTTTCTAAAAGTTTTTATACTGAGGTGAAAGCCCAGTGGAAAGGACAGTTTCTTTCAGTGTCAAATAAGTAATTTTATTAGAACAGGAGCCATAGCTTCTGCATTTCTGTCTTATATTCCTGTACATCTTTCTTTCTGTATCAAGATTTTCCTTGCTTACTCTTTTCTGTGGTTTTAATGAAGCTCTATGTATATTCTCATAATAATTAGAGAAGAGTTTTATAGAGGAATGGCTATAAATTTTGGGGTTGGATTACTGAAAGTTTCCATAAAACCAATGATGTCTGGGCGGATATGGAGAGAAATGCACATTGCCATCGGGCTTTCTCGGAAATGTTTTTCACTTTGCCTAAATTATACTCAAATTAGATAGAAAACTTTCAGATAAAGGATGGTTGCCTGCACCTAACTGTAAGTGTGTAGAAGACCACAACAATTGTTGAAGTATAGATTTGATCAGACTAGACAGGTATTAGTCTTGTTCAAATCCCTCCTGTCTGAAACCCACATGGATAGTTATGACTGCAAGGGACTGACGATAATCCTCTGGAGCTCACACTTTGCAGTTATTAAGGATTTGTCTTTACTTTTTACTTTCAAAGACTAGAAGCCCCCTCCAGCTACTCTTGCACTTTATCCTTGCCTTGCACACTGCATTGTCTGTCTAAAAAATGTGTATAATTTAGCATGGTCAGGAATGCAACAGCTAGTCAAACAAAGTTTAATGGCCAAAATATCAGTCAGCCTCAAAGCCATCCAAGGCAGACTTCCCCTGTGCTTTACCACCCCAAGAGACCTAAGGTCAATGGTGACCAGCAGGTGAACAGCAAGAAGATCCCTAGCAGAAAGCAATAAGCTTGCATCCACATTCAGAATGTTTCAGAATTCTAACCCCCAAGCAATCCTTGCTCTTAAAATATTAGGACAGAAATCTTTCCTGTCAGGATGGAGAGGCCCTGAACAGGTTGCCCAAAGAAGCTGTGGATGCCCCATCCCTGGAAGTGTTCATGTTGGATGGAGCTTTGAGCAAGCTGGTCCAGGGGAAGGTGTTGGAACTGGATGATCTTTGAGGTTCCTTTCAGCCCAAACCATTCTATCATTCTGATTATTGCCAAATAGAGTTCCTTCTTTAGGTGTGGCTTCCATCAGCCTTGATTACCCTGGCCAGCTCCTAATCCTGTTCCTCCACACTAAGGCATGGAAGTGCCTCGAGGTATTTCTTAATGCTAACTCAACATACCCATGGTAAAAATGACACAATATGTTTTCATCACCCAAATGCACATCAAACAACTTTCAGCCCAGCAGAGAGGAGAGAACAGAGAACCTGTCCAAAACCTAACCACAAAACCATGATGGCACAGGGAAAATGTAGCCGGTAGCCTTTGTTGGATGCTGGTGTCTACTATGGGAAAAAAGCTTTCCCACATTTGTGCTGATGAGAGTTAGAAAAGAAACCAAAAACACAATGCGGGATGACAGGGTAAGTGCTCACCTATTGTCACAGGCAGGAGTACAGTAAATCCTAACCAAAGTACAGGGCCAAATTCTCTAGTGATAGCACTGAAGTTAAGAGAGAAAGATTGGCCCAAAGGAGAAATTGGCCATGGAGGTGTAGGGTGAAAACCCACAATTATGCAGGCAATCCAACCTACAACTACATGGGGGTAACAAAGTCATTCATGGAATTAGTTTTTACAATGAAGAAAAAATTGAAAGGTTCTTCTAAAGGTGAAGTGTACATTACTGATGTCTCTCATGTGGTCCTTGCTGGCCTCATATCTGTACTGTGTAGCTTTTGGCGTGATAATAGTTGTTGATTTTCTTTTCCAGCTCTCCTTCTTGGCAGACAAAATTTATTTTCATAGATCTTGTAGGAAATCTCTATCTGTGGGACCCTTGGCCTTTCTATCATATTTGGCTGAAACACTAGAAGACACGTGTTTGAGCCAGCATTTTCAGAAAATTCTCTAGTTTTTATTCTAGAAACAGGGTATAATAGTGACTTAAATGTAGTTTCATCTTTTTTTATACCCTAATCAATATAGCAGCTTGCTTCTAAAATCATGTCAAGAAGGAAAAATAAATCAGTTTATTACAGGATTTTCTTGGCCAGCAGGAACTAAATGAGACATCCCATTTCATCGAGTAGGAAAGGCTCTGCACTGCTCCATACATTCACTTTTTGCCCTCCAAACCAAGTGACTCATAACTGTGTTTTCATCAAGGCAAAATTCTGCCAAGCACATGAATCCCTTAAGGAACAAAAATTTAATTAGTCAGCATGAGGCAAAGAGTGCAACAATATAAAGGGAATGGATTAACAAAGAAGACAGATTACAGCCAGGTTTCTAAACAATCATAACCAGTCATGACAAAGAAATAAAATGCTGCAGAAATTTAAAAAAAAGAGTGATCATGCCCTTTCTGTGATTACAAACGCTATTAAAAACCAGATTACCTTTGTGATGCTACAAACACTTCTAAAGGATTTTTGCAAAAGGCAAGACGGAGACTGGACATGGAAAGGAGAAAGCAGAAAATTCATTTGTTATGGTAACTTGAAGCACAGAAGCTTTTTTCTGTTGAACTCTGTGGAAGAACATCTGTAGTAAGAAATTTACTTGTTAATCCTGAAAAATATGTGAACAAAGTCATGGCAATATTTTAAACTGTGTTCTTCTATGAGAATAAAAATTATCTGGCCTTCTCATGGTATGTAGTAAAGATTTCTTTCCTGGCTGCAGTGAGAACATGCAGCAGCCCTTGGAAACCACACATCATCCAAAAACTCAGGGAGGTGCGTGCACCAGGGAAACAAGGAATTATGAGAAAGGCTTCTCTGTACAGAGTGACTGGAAAGGATGCAACAGCATTCACTTAAACTGTCACAAAAAGGAAAGCTTTGCAAACCTTTGAAACTGGTTAAGGATCTGTTGCTTGAGGCAGACAACATAATTAAGACAGCATTTTCTGATAAAGATGTGCTCAGCTACAGACTTCTACTTGCTGCAAAGCCATTTCTTCCTGTTCCATCTTATGAGACAAGGGGCACATGTTTGTATGCTGCTCTTTGTTATGTCATGATTTAATTCAGCAGGCAGCCACTCACTCACTCACTCACTCACTCCCCAGTGAAATGGGAGAGGGAATCAGAAAAGTAAAGTGGGAAAACTCATGAGTTGAGGTAAAGATGTTTTAATAGGTAAAGCAAAACCCAAGAGCACAAGCCAGGGCAAAATGAAGAATTCATTCATCAATTCCCACAGGCAGGCAGCTGTACAACCGTGTCTGGGAAAGCAAAGTTCCATCATGCTGACTTCAGAAGACAAACACCACACTCCAAACATCTTTTTTTCTCCTTCTTCCCCCAACTTTATATGCTGAGCACCACACCATATGGTGTGGTATATCTTTTGGGTCAGCTGGGATCAGCTGCCCTGGCTCTGTCCCCTTCCAAAGGGAAGCCTCAGCCTCCTTGCTGGTGGGGTGAGTTGAGTCTTCAGATCATGTCCTTGCTTGGACAAAGGGAACAGATCAGGTACAATATGGAGTTTTTCCAGCCTTTTAAATGTTTTCAGAGTAGAAAGGAAAATAGAGCAAGCTACTTGTTTGCATCACCATTAGGTCAGTCTTGAAAACTTGATCTCCCAACCTTAGTTTCTGTTTGGAATATCTTATTTCATCTGTTGGGGTTTTTTCAGTCTTCTGGGATTTTTTTTGGTAAAGAGAAAGGTCCCCTTTGAAACCTAGTGGTCATAACACAAGGTGAATTGTTCTTAGTGTAAAAATTTTTAATATTGGAATAATTTTGTCTTGAATGTGCATCTTGGGAAAGCCAGTTTGTACTTCATTGTTTTATCCTTTGTGAGTAAAGGATGGGTTTTGGTAGAACTATTACCAGTTTTGTTTCATAAGTGGAATATTTATGAAGATATAAAGATTGTCCAGATTGAAAAACCACTGTAGTGTAACCCCTTGGACTAAAAGCTTTTGGAGCTGTGTAAATATTTTAAATAATCCGGGCATTTACTTGATGTATCATATAGTTTAAATCAGAATATAAAAAGAAGAAGGCTGTCCTATTTTTATGCAGGTAACAGTGTCCCTGCCACGGACAGCTCAGTGAAGTGGTGGTTGATAGCTGATACCAAGTTGAGCAATAAGCATTTTAAGCAATAACTAGTTTTGAAATGCACAGTACACGTTTCATATATCAGCTGTGATTCCAAAATGTGATTATCATTTTGGAAATAACTCATCCTCCTGGACTTGAGGGAGGATCATTTCAGAGTACTTTGCAAGCCTATTGAAGTTTGCAACTCATAGGTTTACCTAACTCCTAGGGGGTGTCTCAGAGTGTCAAGGGGCTGTCAGAAGGCAATTTAAATAGCATGGGGCTGAGTTACAATGCCAGGCAGAAAGAATTCAGTGATGAGCTGTGCCCTCAACATCCAAGCCCACAGGACTTTCTAGACACCACCATGGGAAAGGAAGATCCTGCAGGTGTGCCCTGGGACCTAATCAGCCACTCCTCCTGGGGCCTGGCACCTTGGGTGCATCCCAGTGGGATCACTGCTTGGTGTTCCATCCCCAGACTGGGAGCTGCCACCCTTGGTGCTACACAGGGCTGCACTGCGTGGAGCTGTGCACTGGGTAAATTTGGGAAAGTCACTCATGGCTTTGTGTCACAGTGATAAAAAAGGGAGTGTACAACATAATGGAGCTTCAATAGCAGCTGGAAAGAATTAGAAACTGTGTTAGAAGACCCAGGAAGGAATAGCTGTAGTCCCACATCCACTTGGTTGTAGAGATGATAAAAACTTTGAAGGACTTATATTCAAGGATTGGGAAGAAGGTAATTTATTGTCTTGTAAACATTTCTACAAAGGTATGCTGCAATCTAGTGTGAGTTATCCTTCTCCCTTCCTTCCCTCCCCTCCCAGAGAGGGCCAACTCCTACACAACTGGGAGAGAAGCCAGGACCTGCTCAATGTGCGTGGTGAGGGTAACATGGGACTTAATTGCTTGGGAAAGATTAACTAGATGAGCTTCCCAGCCCAGCCACTAAGCTCATATGACTGGAAGCCTTTTCATGTTGTGAGGAAATTGTATTGTGTGTAGTCCAGTCAGAGTGGGTACCCTCGTGGTTTCTGCTAAAGAAACCATGCCTGATGAACCTAAACATTGTATTTCCCCTGTCACAGCAATGCCTGTCAAAACACATAACCTTGCAAGTCTGGAGAACTCCTCACTATGTATAAATCGATTATGGGGTTGAGCAGATACAAAGAGAATGTCAATTGCTTGAAATTCTGTGCTATTAACTCAGAAACACTGACAGGGCTTGGTGCCAGGGCTTAAATCAGCTGACAGGCAATAATAAGCAACAGTCTAGCTCCACTGACACCTTTCAAGGCTGATGATCTAATGAACTGCAGAGATGTCATTCAAGGATGAGGATATCTTCCTGAAAAGCACAGGCTGAAAACAAGCAGGATGGAAACTGCTGAAACACACACTTGAGCAAAACCAAAGCCCAGTGGTATAATGGGAACAGTTGGGTAAAGAAGCAAGGGTCACTGAAATATTTTGGGATTTCCAAACACTGATCTTCCAACTGAAAGCTTAATAGATGCAAGGATACACATAGGACTTATTTCCAAAAATTCATCCACAATGGTGTGTCTGTGGGTTTTTAAAGGCATAACCCCCAACTATAAGAATGCACTTATCCTGGTGATTATTTGTGAGTGAGGAGAGATTTCTTCCAGGACGGTCTTCTGGTGCCCTCAGCAATTTTCATGCACTTGTTGTTTTCCCCATGGCAGAGCACCATCACAGAAGAAGAAGTTCAGAGGATGAAGGAGCAATTAATGTCTGTCTATGATGTCACCACAGATGGACGCTTGCAAATCCAGGAGGTATCTCTGCCAAACCCCAGACCAGTATTTCTTTTATAGAAGGATGGAAAATTAGAACAGATTTTTATAGGGCCTGTAGGAATAGGAAAAGGGGTAATGGTTTTAAACTGAAAGGGGGTAGATTAAAAGTAGATTAAGAAAGACTTTTTTTAAATAAGGGTGGTGAAGGACTGGAAGGGGTTGCCCAGGGAGCTGGTTGATGCCCCATCCTCGGAAACATCAAAGGTCAGGTTGGACAGAGTTCTGAACAACCTGATCTAGTTGAAGATGTGCCTGCCATTGCAGGGAAGTTGGATTGGATGACCTTTAAAGGTCCCTTCCAACCATTCTGTGATTAAGACCTGTAGCAAACTTGGGAGATCTGGAAGATAGAGCCTGGGTGCAGAGGAAGTGACTCACAGAGTATTACATTGGCCAGATCCTTTGGTCTGGAGTTTATTTCCAAGTTTATTTCCATGCCAAACCTGTATTTCACATACTGGATCAGTAGCTACCCAAGTTTTTTCCTTTCCTTACTTTCATGGTGTGGGTTTGCTTTTTGTTGTGGGGATTTTTTAAATGTTTTTCATCCAGCTTGCAAATATGATGTTGCCGGATGATGAGAATTTCCTACTGCTTTTCCGACGGGAAACTCCCTTGGACAACAGCGTGGAATTCATGCGGGTCTGTATCTCCACACTGCCTCCTCCCCTTTGCACACCACCAGCTTCTTCAGCTTCTTCAACCCTTCTGTCCCCTGTAAAACACAGCTTAGGAAATAGATGGGTACTGTGGAAGCAAAACGCATTCTGACCTGTTCAGATAGAGAAGGTTTTACATTATTTACACCAGCAAAACAGAGGGGTGGTATCTAGGACTGGACCAAGGTACCCAGAGAACTCATTACATTTCACAAACACTTTCAGCCATCTATCAGTCATGCCACTACAGACAAAATGTCCCTGCCCATCAGTTCACCCCTTCAGCTCCTCACCTGCAATACTGTATAGACCAAGACAGCAGAACAGGTACATTTTAAGCACCATTTTATTCCGAAACATTAGGCTGTCAGGGCATGGAGAGGAAACCTCCATAAATTGGATCAACAAGCCCATAGAACTTTGCCCAGTCTTCCTCTGATCTCTGCCCCCTAAGTATCCCAATGGGGAGTTTCAGTTGTTCCAAGATCTCATGCAGTTACTTTTATTTCTCATACAAGCTGGGGGCTTCTGCAGATCAATGGCCTGTTGTATATGGCCTTGACTCAGGGCAATAAAAGAAGCTGCATATACAAATTAGGTAATAAATGCAAAACAGTTTCTTAGAATTGTCTTCCTTTTATGGACAACGTGTCTGCATTAAACATGTGATAGCAGTATGTAGCATGTACAGCATCCAAGTGTGAGTAAGAGCTATTGTGTGAAAAGTTTATTTTATTTCATTTAAAATTAATTAAATGTTGGCTAATGCAACAACTTGCTCATTATGGAAGTTCTACTTTGAATCTTTACAATTTTTCACAGAGCAGATGAGTAACTGCAATATTTATGTGCTCACATCAATCTATCCCCGTTCAGATCTGGCGCAGTTACGATGCTGACAGCAGTGGATTTATTTCAGCTGGTGAACTCAAAGTAAGTTATTCTAACAAATCTCTTTGGGCTTGACCTATAGCTCATTGATGTCAATGGGAGCTTTTCCATCAGCTTTACCAATTTGCTGTCTTTTTGTGTGAGTGACAAATGGCATTTCTGGGTTGTTCATAGTGAGTTTGAGGACTTGTGCCTTCTGGCATGGTCTCAGGGGCCCTGACGGAGGGAGGATGGTTTGCTGTTGCCCTCCATGTCCTGCTTCCCCCTAGCCTTGTCCCATGACCCCAGTTGTCTTGGTGACCTGAGGCATTCAGTGAGCCCCACAAGGCTTTGCACATGTGCATCTCCCAGCTAAACAGAGCCAAAGCCATTGTGTTTTATTAAGGGAATTTCTTCTCAATCTCTTCCTGAACCTGCAGGTTTTCTGAACACTGATTTCTCATTAAAGCTCAGGCTATTGAGGCAAGAGCCTGTTCAGAAACCATAACTCAAACACTTTGAGCCAGCAATCACAAAAGTTCATCACTGGGCTGCACATCATGTGCTGAAGTCTCAGTGTGTGGCTTCAGCCTGTGTCCCTGCAAAGATGTAAGAGGTGGCTTGAGTGTTTTACTGAATGGTAAATATTTTGATTTGAGATCAATTAGCAAGTATTGCAGGACTTATGTTGTCTTTTGCTTATTTCGTAAGTCTATTAGGACTCACTCCAGTATACCTGTTCTGGGGAAAGTTAGTTACTTTCTAATTTATTCAAAAAACCACCATGTTTCAGCTAAAACAAATTGAACTTTGTCAAACAGAAGACACTAGTACTAACCAGGAATGTGAAACTAGATTTGTGTACCCTGCTGAATTTGAATTTAATTTCCTACTGTTATTTCTTGAATTTCCAGTAGAGAGTAAAATTTCTCTCTTTTCTTACTACAGGATTTCCTGCGAGATCTCTTCCTGCAGCATAACAAGATGGTTGCTGAGGTGAAGCTGGAAGAATATACTGATACTATGGTACGAAAATATAGAATTAATGTCATTTAGATCTGAGTACAGCCTAAAATCTCCTTTAGGGTCAATGTCTACAGGACCATAAAACCCTGCAAGGTGCTTAAAAGGTGTGTCAGAGATCCCTGGGGGGAGTTAGCACACTGATGCTAACAGTTTTTGCACTGGACATCAGCTGTGAATGCATTTCAAATAGCTTTGCTGAGAGTCAAACTATTTCCTATGAGAAAAGAGCTCCACTTTACACCAAAGCAGGCTGAGCTCTAAACCCCTTTAAATACAGGTGAGGTGCATCCTTCTTCAGGATATGTTCATGCTCAGGCAGATCTCCAGCTCATTCACTTCCTCCTTCCCTCTCTTCCTCCTAGCAAATCCTTTTACTCCCAGGACATGCAGGTATTTGGTTTTTCTGCTCTCAAAGCCCAGCAAGCCTTGCTGGCTCCCTGCTGCTTCCCTGAAAGACTGAGAGGTTGAAAGTTTCAATTCTCCACCTGATTTATCACAATATAGCTTTTATACTGCAATCAACAACATAGCATTTGGTGTGGGTTTAGTGACAGCCGCCTCGATTTCAGAGCAACTTATTATATCTAAACATCTAAAAACAAGAAGGGAAAAAAAAAATCTCATTTCTGGATGTCATTCTCAAGGGTATAATTTGAATTCCACTAGCAGACATCTATCACTGCAATTTTCTAAATGGTTTTCAGATGGAACTGCATTGTTTCTTGGCACAAAATCTGTGTTTGTACCTAAAAACCAGTTTGGTATGCAAGCAAACAAGAAGCTGCCCCCATATTTTGCAATACCATGTTATGTATGTGTGATGTGTGTGTGCCCAGAAATGTGACCCTTTAGAGCAATGTGAGAAACTGTGCTGTTACAGAAGAGTGTATATTTTGTTTTTCATATTTATAAGACAGTGAAGAGAGAGGAATGCCAGCTGCAGAAATTATTTTCCAACTGGCAGAGTCTGAAAACATAAAAAGCCCAGAAGCTACAGCTAAGACAAAAATATTTCCGGTAGCATTTGCTGATAGCAATATCTTTTATTGTGCTCCATTAAGGTTTCCATCCCTGGTGCTTAATCTCTGATCAGGTGCTGGGGAATAGGTGATCTGAAGCTTATAGACAGTGGGTGGTTCATTTCCTCCAACTCATTTCCCTTCCCTTTAATTTCCCAAGAAAGATCTGTGGTTCTGCTACCCCAGTGCAGCTAGGTATCAGTGCAGCCCAGGGCTGAGAGCCAGGAGATCTGGTTTCTATTCCCATGGTTTCATGTAGAAGGGCTTTATATCTCCAGAGAGGCAGTTTAATCTCTATGTTGGAAGATAAGATTTGATATGGGAAAAGGGATGCTTTGTATATCTAGGGAAATCTATGATCTGAAATGCAAATCTGGCTCCTGAGGACAAAGGTTTGCCAAGCTGCAATGCCAAAAGAATCAGGGATGTTAATAGTTATTAGAAAATGAGAATGTGGCAGATGATATTTTTTCCCTTGTAATTCTTTTCTTTAAGCTGAAGATCAAGGATGTTTATAAACACACCTGATCCCAAAAGCAAGAAATTATCACTGGCATAATCTTATCCTATGATTTCCTGGAATAAAATAGAGGATGTGAATTCTGTATATAACAGCAAATTATCCACATGGGCAGTATCCTATAGCATCAGATACACTCCACAAATTATTGCATAGGAAGTTATCTGAAGTAAGAAGGCAAAATTCCAATGAGGGAAGAAAGATTCAGCCTTGCTGAATCTTTCTGAATTTGCAGGGCTGGATTAAAGAGGGAAAAGTGGCTCAGGGGTTTGATGTCAAGGCCCATGGTAATGGCAACCCTTCACTTCCTCTCTCTCCCTTCCCACATGGAGTGAGGAGCTACTGGAGTGCAGAGTCCCTCTGCCACCAGCACCACAGTTTGGGATAAATGGGTCAGTGGCCCATCCATTTTTTCCCTGACTCTCTTATATCTTTGACAACCAGCAGCAGTGATTCCTTTTCTGCAGATTGGACATACTTACATTCCTCTCTGCTATTGCTTTGCTCCCACCCTTTTATCTTTTTAGAGCACAAAGTCCTTGGGAGCAGGACCTGTTTCTGCTGCGCACAGCTACAGAGTCTTGCAAGGTGGCCCATCTATTCCTCTCAGGGCTTTCAAGGGCCAGTGTAATTATTATTCAGTTGAAATAAGCTGTGTCTCAAGGAGCTGTAAACCCATCTGTCTCCACAGGAATATACACAGGAATATAATTTTTTCTGTATATGCACAGCTGGCTGCACACATCTTAAGCAGCTACTGATATCCTGAGTGGACCCTAGGGCCTTCTGGAGATAAAGGGGGAAAGGCAAAAACTATAATTTAAAAGGAGCTAGCCTAGGCTTGAGGAAAAAAATAAAGGCAGGATTTTATGGTTCTATGCTGGGTATTTGCAGTTTGTGAGCAGATATCATATCAACCAACCAGGGCATGTTAAACTCTTGCCCCTTGTGCTGCTATGAATGATCTCATACAGCATTAAAAAAAAGTGCTGGGAAGAGGGAGAGTGTATTTCTTTTGGAAGAGATTGGTTGTCTCTGGAAAGGAACATCACTTTATCAGGTTGCTTAGCAGCTGCTTCTGAAGAGGCTATTCTGTTTCCTTGTGACCTTGACATCCTTTCTTCAGAGAACAATGGTATAGATTAGGGCTTTGATGAACAAGTGGTGAACTCCTATAAAGACAACAGGTAGTGAACACATCAGCATTGCACAAACTCTGTGAGTCTGCTAAATCAAATCTTAAAGAGCACTAAAGCCACTGGGGAAAATCACAAAAGAACATTTGAGTTCTCAAGACTCTTCATGGGAGAGCTGAAGTGACAATGCTGTGTGAGGAAGACCCTCTGTAGGGGCTTCTTCTCCATGTTTTTTCTTCCATGCCTACATAGATACATATTTGTATTAATAGCCATTAACTGAGTGTGTATTAATAATTATCTACATGCACCCACTTGCAGTTCTTAGTCTTTGAACACAATCTGTGGGTTTGTTGCCTTCCCACAGGCAGTGACCAAGAGCTGCTGGCAGGAAGCAAGTGCTTGGAGGTTGATGTGAAGCCTGGTATTGCTCTGAACTTCCTGAGAAGAGGCCCCAGGCATCCTGCAGTGTGTGTTTTGGGAGAAAGAGTGAGCATAGCTGAAAATGGATGGAGGGTTTAAATAGCATGGTGAGAATCTTCTGCCTTCCTGAATTAAAAAAATCTGGAGAGATGAAGACTGGTCCCCTTGATACTTCATGATGAGGATACTGTGTATGATGACAGAACAACCTTTTCAATCCCTCCCACATCCCCTCACCCCCAAGATCAAGCTGTTAGTAGGTTTCTGGGTTCTGGTGAGGTTTCAGCTCAGAAATACCCATCTCATATATGCATTTGTCAACAATTTTTAAGAGTGACAGATTCCATTATCTGTGTGTGCTCAGAGCTGTGCACATAAGCAGAATATTGTAAATGCCAGGATATGAACTAGATTTGAGATATGGTTTCTGATAGCTTGCCAGATAGCAGCATGTTACTTCCAGTTTGTAATCCAAAAGTCTACAAGCTGCATGCAAGGCAAGCTCATTTCTGAGTCAAACTTCAGCAATTTAAGTTGTTTATTCTGTTGAAACACTCACAAGTGCAACACTGGCATTCACTTTTTTCATTGCCTTACGTTGATAATGTCACATGGAGCATAAAAAATTCCTTTAATATGAGCATTATTATAGTCTCAGTAAAGTGCAAAGGACAGTTCTTGTCCAGCCTGCAGGCCATCTTTGCCCACCACAGGTTAATATTCTAGAGGGGCAATAATGTAAATGCAGTGACTAATAAGAAGCATTGGTCATGAACTACAGTATTTGAAAACTTATAGATGGTGATGACTGAGGATGAAATCTTAACCCCAGAGAAGTCAGAATAGATGTTTTTCCCAGCTGTAATGACACCAGGATTTTGCTGGGCTTATTTGCAAAGATTCTCCTGGGCACTAAGCTATGTGCCCTGAGTGCCCAAGCCCACAGCTGAGGGCTCCCCATCTTCTCAGTGCAAAGAGAAAAAGGTTGCCTTCTCCCTGAGGATGATCTGTGTCCATGAGTAGGCACTGTGGACTACCTTTATTGTACACTGGGGGGATTTCCTGTGCTTCTGTGGCTGCTGCCTGTCCCTTCTGCAAGGATAGTGCAGAGTTTCACTGTGGTCAGTTCCATGTGAAAGTCTGTCTGTGTTCAGTGCTGATACCAGTGTACTCATGTGAGCAAATAAAAGCCAAAGCACAGAAAATTCAGGTGATTTAGACCCTTAACATTAGGTAGCATATCTTTGTTAACAAAGTCTCTTATGACCACCAAACAAAAGGTGTAATAATGGAAAGACAAATATTTATTGTATTGAAAAAAGCCTGAACAGAATTAATTGTGTTTGTCAAGACACCAGGCAAACTTCCCAAAGCTCTAGAAATACCATAGGAGTCAAGTGTAGCCTACAAGATTGGTTCCCAAAGTGCAGTCTTTGGTCATCCCTTCTCCTCCTGGTAGTGATCCATGCCAGCCTCTCTCCCAGGTGACTGGAAGGACCCACACAGCTGATGAACACAAATCTGCCTCCTGTGTCCCTTCTCAATTTAATGCTAGGGTTGCTGTCACCTCCAGTTTTCTACCACACTTGCTGTGGCAAAAGCCAAGAGAAGCAGAAAATCCTGTTTAAGCTCAAACATAATTTCTGAAGATCAGAACCAAAAGAACTCAGGAGCTTACAGGCTTCTGAACACCCCAGATAATGCCTTGGTCTCTTAGGAATCAAAACACTCTTGGAAATCCTGTACTAAAGAACTTATTTATGACACAGGTGGTCTGGCTGGGCAGGACACTGAGCTTTTGTCCTGAGGGTAACTTGCTGGCCACCGGGCCCTCCAGTCACTCTGCAAATGCCTTTGTGACCCCATCCTTCCCTAAAGAAAGAGGCCATAGGCAGTCCTGCAGCTTGGGCTGATGCCTGTCTTTATACAGTCTCAATAACCTCTGCATTTAGGTCTGGCCAACTTTTGTTTCAGCTGTTGGGCATAGGTGCCCATGATATATACATTAAAATATATATGTGAGAGTAGGAGGTCAAGTAAAACTGACTCTCCCAGTGTCCCACTTAATTACACAAAGAAAGAGAGCCAGAAAAGATATGGAAGCAGGTTTTATTGAGTCTGCTGAGCACAGAACTATTTATTTTGGTTGTTTACTTCTTTCCTTATCTCTGTCATGAAAAATAATTCAGATTTATATTGCTCTTCAAAGAATGTGTGTATTTGTCTATTGTAGTATTTCAGTGGCCTTTAGAACACTGGACTGAGAAAGCAGAGATATTTCCTTTGCTGAATTAAATACTGATGGTAGTTTTGATTTTGCACTTTTAAAAAATGGAGATGTAACTTTTATTTGCAAACCAAGCTCTTACATATTCTCTGTCTGTCTCAGAGTGCCACAGAGTACATTCAAACAAACAGGGTGTGCCCTTGGTGCACTGCCATTAAAATGTCAGTGAATTAATTTGTACAAACACTACAAACACTTTAAAACACGGGGTAGCTTGACAGTAACTGAAATGCATCATTTTATAAAGCATACTGCTAGATGCAACAAAGCTTTTAGTAAAATTGAGTGCTATTTAAACATGCCAGACCTTGTCCTTAACCACATTGTGATGTTTCATATCAGCCTGGCAGTGTAAATATACCTTTCATAAGTGTAAACTGAAAATCCATCAAATTTAACATATCAAGATGGTGTGTGAAGGCAAAAGTTTAAATTAGAAACAACCTCATAACCATTGCAATTATCTGCTTCTCCCATTATGTATGCTTTGTCATATGGGGTGGCTACCTCTGTCATTCTTTGTGTACTCATGCACACAATTAGCAGATCAGATCAAACACTCACATGCTTGAAACTTGAGAGTTTGATTAAAAAACCCTTCCCCAGGCTGTTCCCTGAGTAATGCAGCACACGACTGCCATGTAGTGGGTATGCATGAGCTGCACTTGTCCCAATAACAGGATTAGGTCTATCTTATTAGCTGTGCTACCTGAACTAATTCAGTGAACACTAGCCCTTCTTCCCTACACGTTTTCCATCTTTCATGTTAGTCACTGGGCAAGAATTAGCTTGGTGTAGCTCTACCTGACAGACTTTTTTTCTTTCTGTTGACTGATATGGAAGATCAAAATATTGCATGTGTTTGAAAATTGTATTCAGGGTAGTTGTGGCAGAAAAAGGACAAATGGATAGAAAACACTAAGGTTCTCTCTTACAGAGCTGAGTGAAGGAGGTCAGGGAGGGGAGTTGGTTAGCTGTAAATAGATGTCACTGAAATTTCAATATCAAGCTGAAAGATGGGGTGCAGGAGAAGAATGTTTCCTTCCATTAAGCAATCCACCAAGGAGTTTATTATCTCTCTATTAAATGTGTTTTACTGGGATCTGCACTGCTGCAGGAATATTTTACAGGGTTCAGAAATTGGTAGGATTGAAAACCATACGCTCACAAAATTGATAATGAAGCAGAAAGCCTTTCACATCTTAACCACCATCTTTCATCTAGTCTGTTTCATTAAGAGTGCACAAAACTCTTCCTGGTTATTTGCAACTTCTGAAGCCAAGAAAATATGCTGCACCCACAAAGTAGAGCAGATGTAGGGCAGGCAGGACACATGAAGTCCCAAGGCAAGGACAGCCATGCTGGGATCCTTATTTATTTATTTCCTGGAAAAGGACATGAGGCTGGAGATGTTTCACTGGAAAAGAAACATGAGACTGGTCCCAGACAAGCCTATGTGAATGAGAATTGTGCCCCAAGTCTGGGTCTTGGACAGGAAACCACCAGTTCAGACCTGCTCCCATAGGCTCATACAGAGACGAGGACACGGTGATCACAGAGTTGAACTTCTCCCAGAAACTCAGTGTTTGCTTTTCTGAGGTATCACAGAGAGCAAAACACATCTGAATTTGAAGTCTAGGCTGAAGCACTGAATTTCAGTCTCGAGACTGAGATGCAGCAGAAATGCAGCAGAAAGGGGAGAAAATAAAACACGCTTTCAGGAGCTCAGAAACATGTGGGAGAATCCAAGTACTAAGACTACTAAAGACAGTAAGTTTTAGTATGTTTTGGTAAGAATTCTGTATTTTTGTATGAACCAAAGACCAGTGCCTTCAGCCAGAGCTGCCGTGACCTGGCAGCAGAGCTCCTGAGAGCTGCGCCCTGTGTTTCCCACCAAAAGCTGTCCTTTCCCAGCAAATGCTGTTCTGTCTCACCAACTGCATTGCTTTGTGGTGACCTACAGACCATGTGGGTAACTAATTCTTCTTGGTGGCCTAAAGCAAAGGATTTAGACTGACATTTTCAAAAGCACTGAAGTTACTGTAGAGCCCAAGGACTATGGTATTCCTTTTACAGGAATGATGTAAGCTGCATGCAGCAAACGTCACTGGTGGTGGAGAATGTGTCAAAGTGAAGTGGTAGGGGTATTTCTCCTCAAACAACAGACAAAACCAGGTTAGGCATTGATGTTCCATTTGGAGAGAGACTTTAAAAATCTTATCTGGGCTTATTTATTTCTAGAAAGAATATTAATAATTTTCTATTATCTGCAGAACAATTCCTTTATTAGCCAAGAACTGAAGGCTCAAGTTTATCTCTCTGATGGCAGAGGAGGGCTGTCATTGCAAGGACATTTCTCCCCTTGGTGGCACCAGCAAAGGCAGCTTCTGCTCCCATCCCTTTCTCTAGCCTTGTCCCACTGCTGGTCCAGCAGAGATGAAGGAAAAGTGCCATATTGCTGTGGGAGATCCAATAGGGCAGAAAGCAACGTGCAAGAAGTTAGATCAGCTGGAAGGTAACAACTTGGATTGATGCATCCACAGGGAAGTCCTCAGGATGGCCTGGCAGCTTTATTTGTCTCCCCAGCTCTAGAGTGAAGGAAGATTCAGAAGCCTTTCCTCTGTCATGTAGTGGCTCTGCACAGAGCACATGTTTGGCAGAGGCCATTTAATGGGAAAATAGCTTTCTTTGTGCCAGCAAACACCCACATGGCTCTTGTGATGCCATTTTTCCAAATATCTCAATTTGGGCCTTCAATCATTCATAGGACTTTCATGCTGTCTTTCAATGGGAGGAAAAGTGAGCCCATACCAAATGCCTCTTCAAGAAATCCACCCAAACCTCACAAGTGTAAAATACTCAGAATAATTAATGGTATGGAGTCTGTTGCAGAATCTCAGTCTGGTACAATGTGGTACAATAAAGGGTTACCATGGACTTGCTGTCCTTGCTCCCCTTGAGCAGTGGGCAGGGAAGAGGCGGCGCTGACAAAACAGGCAAAATCTCCCTGAGAAATGGCAGCTCTCCAGATGCTCCCTTTTCTCACATGATTATTAGACTCTGCCCTGGCTCCACTGCTGAGAAGTGCTCAGGACATGCTGCTGGCTCCCATGTGTTCAGGCATAGGGGATAATCCTGTCCATCTGAGCTTTGTCAGATGGGGCTGGTCCAGGCTTTCTCCAGCAGCTGTGCCATGCACAAAAGATCTGTAGTGAACCAATTACTCTGCACAACCACTAAACAAGCAAATGTGATCTGTCAAGGTAAGATTAATGCATATTTGACAAAGAAAGGTAATCTGTCATAGTAAAATATTCATGTTCCTTCCACACAGAATGTGGAATATTTTTTTCCTAGAACTTTGAGCTATGAGATATTCAGCTTTGCAACTCATTAAACATCCCCCCACCCCTTTCTTTGTAACAGACCAATTTTGTGCCTTGAAGAGAAATGCAGAACAAAATACAGCAAATAAATAAATAAATAAATAAATAAATTTTTTTGTTATGGCTTATCAAAATTATGCTATTCAGTAAAAGAAAATAATAAGTTTCGAATTCACATTTAACCTTGATGTTGGCAGCCTGACCTTCTTCCAAGTCTTAGTGCATTCTACAGCAGGCCTTGAGCCAAGCAAGCCCCACAGCTTTAGTGGTGTAAAATCCTGACCTGAGTGCTGATTAGAAGGTGGCATTTCCACCTCAGCTGCTCAGAAGCCACAGCAACAGTCAAAGGTAAGGATGGAGTCCAGGTGGAAGTGTTGAGAAATTTCTCCCTTTTTCTAGCTTTTTTATTTTTTTCAGGATCAGGGCAATGTCAGTATTTAGTTTCTGAAGGTCTTTCCTACAGACCTGCTTTATCCCCATGTAAGGTGGGAAGGGACCAGTACTGGTATTTGATTGCTTTGGGTTGTAGCTGTCAGAAAGCTGGTGGGTTTTGCTATTTCCTTGTGCCACCCTTGCACTTGGTGCTAGCACAGGATGCCACGCTGCCCAGGGTTTGGGCAAGCCCCCTGAGCAAGCAGAGGGAAGGGCACAGGGCAGAGCAAAATGTATATTGCCTTTTTTTTTTGTATGTGTGTTCTCCTTGTGGCCCATCTGCTTTATCTCCATCTTCTTGATTTATAGATGAAAATCTTTGACAAAAACAAAGATGGACGACTGGACCTGAATGACCTGGCAAGGTAGGATTTAGTAATGTTGGTGGTGTTTCAGCTAACAATGGTCAATCCACACAAGGTGATGCTCTCCCTCTAGGCATGTGCAGTTGAATTCTACCTCCTTTTGAATTAGATCTGCTCTGATCCCACCTCTCCAACACATGGTCCCCATTGCAATAATCTGAGAATCTAGAGCCAGGGATAGGAGCAATGCCAGGATCTGTCTGGACAACATCAATGTGCTCTGGCATAATCAGAGGTGCTTCCCAGGAGGTGGCAAAGCAGCCAGTGGCCCTGTTTCTCCAAAAGAAGGATGACAATCCTTTCAACAGGGTCACAGACATGCATTTATTTTTCATCATTATGTGCAGCAGGGATTGCAAAGAATTTTTACTGCATTTTGAATAATGAAAGTGCCACCACAAAAGAGTTTGGCAGTGGCAGTAGGAAAGGATTTGGAGAGCCAAGGTGAGATGCTTGTGAATGAAGCTGGGATTCAGTCATGGGCCTGCCTCTCTTTTCTGTCCTTGATACCTTAGAGGCTTTTAGATGATTTTCACTGCCTAGAGATAGATACACCTCTCTCTGTGAAACTATGTGCATTGATTGGATAGGACTTCAAATTTTCAGATACAGTCATAAAGGCCAGTTTAGAGGATGAGCGGACAGTGGTGCTGGTTTGTCACTGTTACTCTGTGCTTTGAATCCTGACAAATGCCAGCACAAATAACTGCAGTGCATACAGCAGTTCCCTTTGACCACGAAATATCTAAACAGAATCTGGGGCAGGATGGAGAATATCTAAAGGGGGTTGCTCTTACAATTTTCTCTTAAATACAGTTCCCTTTGGGGAACCAGGCCATCTGAGGCTCTCCTCCAGTCTGAAAATATTTCTCAGACTCCAAATCCCTCTATGTGTGGATATAGCTCAGCAATTCCCTGTGCCATGGGCTCTAAAAATTTCAGGGTTAGCAGAGCAGTTGGAGAGAGAAAAGGGTTTATTAGTACTTGTCAGGCTTTAGGAGATGAAAAGAGAGGAATTCTGCGAGTCTTAGTGTACAGGCCAGTATTACTTTGTCCTTTACTTTTACAACCACCAAGTCCTCCCTCCAGTAGAGAGCCATAAATCACTTTCTTTAATGCAGCACAGCAATCCAGTTACAAGGAGTGATTGTCTGTTAGCTCTTACTTCTGAAGCTGACACCCTCTGTTGTGCAGGACCACCCAAAATGCTCTGGGAGAAGCAATGGTGCTAATAGGCACGTCTATGGTGAACTAAAGGGCACCCTCTGTGCCCCATCAGACAGGGAGGAAGGTGTGTGTTCCCACAACAGCCCACTGTAAATAACCCCACAGGCAATTTTCTCTTTTATAGGCCTTTAATGTAACATCCCTTTGTTTTGCAAACATGGAGGGCTCAGAATAGTTCATGTGCCGATGATAAAGTGAAAAGATCATAATTAAAATCTCTCCATTCAGGATTCTGGCACTCCAGGAAAATTTCCTTCTACAATTCAAGATGGATGTAAGTAGCACTAATTTTTGATACATTGATCCTGTCTCCAGCTAAGATGACCTGGGCCCAAACTTGAAATTTTTGCTTTAAATTTTCATTTGCTTGTCCTCTCTGTATGCAGGCTTCCAGCACAGAAGAAAGGAGGAGAGATTTTGAGAAGATCTTTGCACACTACGATGTTGTGAGTCCCATGAGTCTGTTCATTCCCTGGTGGTTTGTAAATGACAGAGTTAGTGTGTGCTGCTGAGACTTCTTCCTCCTGCTGGGTGCTGATGCAGTCACTGAGGAGCAGCATCTCTGCCCAAGCCTGTGGCCCATGAGCCCAAATGCCAGACTGGGAGGGGTAAAGTGGGACAGAGAGGAGCAATCCTCAGAGATCTTGTGTCAAGGACCCATTTCGACTTTCTCCATTGCCATGGCCAGTGCTGCTTAAAACTGTGTTAGCAGTTTTCCTGCAGGAGATGCAAGGGAGGAAGAGGAGGTGGTGGCTTTAGCCCTCACAGTCTCTGGCAGTTCAGGACCTGCATCACCACCACATTGAAAAATAAACCCCCTTTCCATACCAAATCCATGGTTGATTAGGGAGTCTGGCTCAGGACAGATGTAACCATTTAACTGCCTGTTAGACATCAGCAATTCAGTGCTGCTTTTGGCAGTCACAGAACTCCCTCAGGATGGTCGGAGACTTTGCTTCCATTTTGGGAGAGATGGTTTGGGAAAAACAATGGGATCTTAGATATTAGATATCAGGAAGAAGTTATTTACTGTGAGGGTCTTGAAGCACTGGAACAGGTTTGCCCAGAGAAGCTGTGGATTTTCCAACCCTAGAAGTGTTTGAGGCCAGATTGGATGGGGCTTTGAGCAGTGGAAAGTGTCCCTGGTCATGGTGGAATGGTTGGAATTGGATGATCTTTAATGTCCCCTCCAACCCAAACCATTTCATGATTCTGTGAAATTTATGCTAGAAAGCTTGGTGACCAGGTGTTGGTACTGACCAGTAAACACTGTGGTGGTTTTGACTCACTGGGGAGTTTTGATGTTTATTCCTTCTTTCAGAGTAAAACAGGAGCACTTGAAGGCCCAGAAGTGGATGGGTTTGTCAAAGACATGATGGAACTGGTCAAGGTATCTTCATGGCTCTGTTAATACTCTGTATTTCCTAAAGATCAGTGCTTTTGGAGAGGCTATGTACACAGAGACACTAGTGAGAACATAGAGTCAAATTTTAGTTTGATCACCAGCAGAAGGAAATGTCACCATCTCAGTATGTATACTGTAAAGCATTTCACTATATCACATAAATTCTGCCTCACAAATTAATACAGCTTCCCTCAGCGACTCTATTTTCAAAAGGTCCACTCTAGTTCATACTTTGAATTAGGCAGGTGTTGCAGCATGACATGATATGGATAGATCATCACAATTTCTTTCTTCTGTTTTCCTTGTGGATGTGGTTCTCACCAGAATGACCTCATGGTTCATTAGTTCATCTCAGGGCTACAATTGAAAATTACTTGGTGTCTGTCTGCAATCAAGAATACCGTACCTGGTGTGTCTCTTCAGCCCCTGATGGACAGAAGAGTCTGTCTTCATTGGATTATCTTAACTTTCCTGATGCAGTGCAAGATAGATCTTTTGACCCAAACAGAATCTGATCTTTAGCTTCCTCTGAGCCTGAACTGTTGCATTTCTACACAGTGTGAGATATCTGTGCTGCCATGTCCATTCAGGAGAGAGCGGAGAACAGCAGCTGTGTGCTGATGGCTGCATGTTTGTGTTCTGGCCATGCAGTGTGCAGGGAAGGGTGTGGGGATGGGCAGAAGTTTGGATTTGTGTGCTCTGTGTGTGTGTGTAAAGAAGGGAAATTTGTACTTTGCCTAAGGGCCTTCATCTTCGTTGCCCTTGGACCCCACAAGCTGTGCATGTGAATTTGATCCCCTCCTGAGAATGTGGGAAGCCGAGCAAGCAGTACAGCATTAGGAGCATACAGAAACTGTGTAGCCTGTAAAATGTGTCTTCAACATGAACTTGATCCACAAAAGGTATTTTTACATTGCTGACTAGCCTGTAAAATAGCAGTATGCTGACAGAAATGTCACATTAGTCCTTGCACAGCAGGTTTGAGAGAGGAAACCAGATGAAAGCACAGGTCTGGTAGAGCAGGGATCTGCATTGCACAACTTTCTGAAGTTTTCTTATATATGGCCTTGACTGAGCACAAAAGTCATGGTGCATTTCCATACAGTCACTTACAGTTCCATGCACCTTTTGCTTTTTCAGGGCACCCTTTCCCATCTTCTATTTGCTTCCCCATGGCATATGAGATGATGTGGGGCCTTTTGGTCACTTTTCCTTGGGTGGTTTTCCCAGTTGCTGCATGGTGGGCTGCTTTACTAGCTGGGGAAATCCAGAGCCATTTTCTCTCTCAGCATTCTTTTTCTCTTTGCCTGCAGCCCAGCATTAGTGGGGTAGACCTGGACAAGTTCCGCCAGATCCTGCTCAACCACTGCGATGTGAACAAGGATGGGAAAATTCAGAAATCTGAACTAGCTTTGTGTCTTGGGCTGAAAATTAACCCATAGCTGGGAAAGTGCTTGTGGTTGTGTTTCCCTTGAAAGATTTGCCTGCTGCTCCTCATAGAAGTGTGTTCTGTGCTGCTGTGGGAGTGGTGGGGTGCTGAGGCACCACGCTGCCAGGCTGGAGAGTGGGATTTACACGGCGGCTTCCTCACTCCACCAGCTCCTTTGTGATGTTCACTTGCTGCTGCCTCTTGTGGGTCTCCCTAGCAATGTCTGCTCAGAGGACAGGTTGCTGTTATTCTCATGAAATGCTGCCCTGCCCATTCTCCCAGGATAGGAACAAGCATCTCCTCAAAAACACCCCCTCAGTGCTTTCAGAGTGAAGCCACTAGGTGTTTCTGATGGTCATATTGTATGTGTGAAGTCATTACTTTGGTGAACATTGTGCCTTGTGCATTTAAAATATTGGATGGATGACAGTGTGACAGTGTATTTGTGCAGAAATAAAATGGCAATTACAGAAATTCAGTAACATCAAAGTTTGTGTGTTATGTACAGAAAGACATCTCCTACAGGCTGGCAGATTGTACACAGTAGCTTTTTATGTAACATGCATCAAATGGCAAGAGGTTTTGTGATGCCTATCCCCAGTTGTGGGGTTTAAATCTACAATGAAACGTGGTAGATCCTTCCCCTGGGGAAACCACACATACCATGTGTGGTTTGTGTGTCACTCTCAGGATGAAGCCACAGAGTAACATCACTTCTGGAGGACACTTCTCTTCTGACCCAAACTGAAATAACCTACAAGGTTTCGATAAACTGGAAAACTGAAAGCTCAGAAACCTGATGAGAGCAAAGCTCCTACACATGCTTGTTTTTTTGGTTTTTTTTTTTTTCAAATCTGTTTGAGTTGGTAGATACTTATAACCCTTATTGAATTTAAAGCTTCCTATCACTCCTGGACCATGAGTGTAGTCCCAGAGCCCAATGGCAACAGCATCCTTTGTGCCACATATTTCCTTATCCCAAAGGCTTTGACTGAATATTCAGAAAGTGTCATGCCCATACTATCATGCCCAAATAATTCTTTCTTCATTTCCCAAGAAAAAATTGTGGAGGAGAGGTTGTTGGCAAAAACTCCTCACATTTCACAATTTCTGTCTTCTACATATGACAGATCTACACTTGACGCTACAAGGTCCTTTCTGGTTGTGTTTTCTGCACCAGGAAGCACAATGAAACATTCCCATTATACTCAGTTTTGTAAAGACTAATCAGAGGTTGCCTTCAGTCAGCATGAATAGAGATGTAAACATGGATTACATAAAGCTCTTAAGAACATACTCCACTTATGCATATTTTCTATTTCCATTGATGATAATCTCACAGACCCAACGAGTGCTAAACGCTTGTTTAAATCCAGCGCAGAGCTAGGCCCTTAAATTCTGAAACTGCTTTTTATCACCCTGGCAGCAACACAAATCACAACCACAATAACAAAGCTTTACAAGGGTTCAAAAAAAAACATAAACAAAGCATCAGGCCTCAGCATTAACTCCTCAAGCCAGCAGGGTTGCAGTTGTACTCATGGATGCTCACAGCCCTCTAAGGAAAGAGCTGTGGTCAGGAGTGCTGGACCACCAGCAGAGAAATCCCCCACACTGCTCTTTATGAGACATACTTTATCACAGTCTTTGAACAACTTGTAACAAATCTAGCAGAGTAAAACAACTATTGTTTTATTGTACCTCAAATAGAATGTAGAATGTGACTGGTCAGCATAAAGAGTTATGCCTTTAAGTATATTCTTCTGTTTCTCTCTCTTCCTTCATTCTAATTGTTATTCTTCTTTTCTTAAACTACAGTTTTTATTCCTTTGGACATGGGAGATATTTATGTACCATCCCCTTTGATATATTTCCACATATAGATGTAGGGTCTTTTTGCTCTTTGTATTTCCCAGTGATGGCAGGTCTATTTTTGTTTCCCCTCTGTTTAATCCTGCTCATATTACTAGAACTGTGTCTTATTTGTTGAAGTATTATTTGAAGCGTATCCTGTCCTGCCTTACCAAAACTGCAGCAACTCTTAACCTAAAGAGAAAATTTATTTTTAAAGACTTGATACAACCACGGGTCTCATTTCAAGAGTTATAAAACACTTCCTCTTTATTAAACCCCTATGCTTTTGACATCCTCTACAGCCAATAGTTTTTATTCAACAGACACTGAGCAGTTATGAATTTGAGATGTCAGTCTCACAATGTATTTTGCTTCTTTTGTACAAGTCTGGGATTTTTTTTTTTTTAAATACTGATTTTGACACAGACTTCACACAACTAGTTTTACTAGCTTTTATAAGTGAGTGCATAGGCTCCAGTAAATGAATTTAAAAGAGCATTTTACAAAACATTAGCAAGAAGTAATTTGTAATCATAGATAAAAAGGTTATATATAGAACTCAGAGAATGAGACTTCATTATTTATTTTAGTTAGTTAGTTTTCCATGCCCATGAGAATTTGTTTTTTTATTGTGTCCTGGCCAGAAACCAGAGAGCAGGAAGACAGACATACATACTGTCTTGTTTGCAAGGACCATAAGGGAGCCCCGTATCCCAGTGGGACTACAGCCTCAGTGAGCTGCAGATCCCCTCCAAACAAAACCAAATGTGAGGTGCAATGGGATTTGAGCCCACATTGCAAAGAGCAGCAAGGTAATCACTAGTGAGATATCATTTTATGAACCTGTAGCCTCTGAAAGTCAACATAAAGGCAGGACAGCAGCATTTTGAGACTTCTTGCAGAGAAGAGTTCCTTGCAGAGCTTTTTTTGGTTTTGTTTTTGGTTTTGTTTTTTTTTTTCATTATTTTCACTTCAATAATAACTGATCTACTAGGTCCTTTGGTCTCAGGCTCTGATTATATCAACCTTTTAGGTTCCTGTAGATATAAAGCTGGGCAATGCATCTGATAAAGTATAGCTGTTTTCCATTTTGCAAATTTGAAGGGTACTTCTATGTACTCCTATGTACAAAATACAAGATAATATTTCACATTTAAAGGGTTACACAAAAAATACCTGTTTTGCATTAGATATATGAAAACAGCAACAATTTCCATGGTTATCACTTACTTTTTAGGAGGCTACATTGTGGTAACTAGTATTTGAAAGGAGTGAATAAAAATCTTTGCAGATATAGTTTTCCCTTGGTATTTTCATGTTTTTCATTAGAAAACTGGAGTTAAGGGATTCACAGTTTTCTATTTCTTCATAGTATGCAAATCCACTGAAATAAACTTCTAACTGACTCATCATATTTCATAGATGTATTTCCAAAGCACATTTAGCAGCCACAGGTTTAGTGGTCAATATGCAGGGTTCTCCCAAATGTGCATTTTTATGGTTGATTTTCCTCCTTTACTTGTTTAATGGGCAGACTGCTGAATCTGGAAATCAGTGTGTGAATTTCTTCAGAACAAAGCTGTTCCTTTGCTTCCCTTTTCACTGCACTCCTGTCATGCTCCCTGCTTGTCTTGGCCCTTCTCATTTTTGGTACATGACATAACTTGCATCTGGATGACTTGACATGACACCTTTGTTCAGGAAAGGCTGGCTCTGACAGCTTCAATTGGCTATGTAGAACTGATACCCATGAAAAATTAACATTTATAGGCTTTTAAAGTCAAATCCATCCCTTGCTTAACTTCATTGGTTCTACTGGAAATTAAGGTCTCTTTTCTTCCATCATTTTGAAACTCAACACAGTCTTGGCTTGTCCCAAACCATCACCACAGGGACTTGCCACTGGAAGCCCCCATTTTCCTGAGTCAGCCTCACAACCCCAAATGGCTCATGTGCCAGTTGTGCCTTGGTCTGTGCAATTTTCCCCAAGAAAATGAACCCACGTATGCATCCTTACGTCATTCCCCAGTCTGAACACAACTCCAGCAATATCACATCACTGACACACAAATTGGAAACAAATGAGATGTTTAGGATTTGTAGCATTTAAATTTCATCAGTGCTTTATTTTCAGATTCTCAAAAAATAATTATCTCTCTTTGTTCTCACAATTTTGCTTGAAATAACAGTGTGAAGCTGCCTGCACATCTTACAAAAACTGCTCTTTATTCCAATTGAAAGCTTAGAATTGAGCATCAGTCCAAAAGAGGGGTTCAAAGGAAAGGAAACCAACACAGTATTTTGATTAATCTCCTTTTCTATTTGTCTGGTAAGCGAATAGTGTCAATATTAATGAAAACAATTGTGATTAATGCAGTCAGCAAGACTATCAGAGAATCTTCCACCACGTTATAATAGGAACCCATCACTAGAAACACCTTAATTACAGCTATTATCTCTTGAAATGTCTGAGTAACTCTTAACATTGATCTGATTTGAATTAGAAAGTTCCCATTATGTAGTGAGATGTTAAACAGGGCTTTGCTGTGTAATTACATGGGGTAAAGTAACTATGAAAGTGGATTTTGTATGAGGGCTACACTGACAGCTAATGAAAAGATCTCATTTTCTGGCACCTGTATTTTCAGTATTTCCATGGAGAATTGAGTCTCATTTTAAGTAACATTTTCACTTGGGAGAAGGGGAGTAAAGAATGCAGTTATGACCACTATGAGAGAAAACAAGGTAACCATTTGTTAATGCCAAGAGACATCTACAGGGAGCTCCAACTGGGTCCCAGAGGTAAAAAAAATTCCCTGCCCTCTCTTCCATAGCTTGAAATCACTGATTTTCACAAACTTTTACATGGTAAAGCATCCCTGCTTGCTGCCTGCTATATGCTTATCCTTTGCACTGGCTTCAGGCACTTCAATTTATTCCTTCTAAGTTGTTCTTATCCATAAAAATACACCCTGCAGGTGTGCTGGACACATCTGGCATCTCTTTAGATGAGCTGTTTCAGAAAAAAAATTAGTTTGAGTGGATTTTAGGGAGGCACCACAGCCCATGAGAGATAATATCATTAGGCAACATGTCTGGAGAATGGGTGTCTGCTCCAGGCTCACAGAGACCTGGTTTGGGGTTTCTGCTCTCCCCAGCATCGTGGCTGTGAATCTGAAATGTTTTCAACCTGCTCAGTCTTACCAGGGGAGGGCTTCTGTTGTGGATGATGAGAGCGCATAACCACATATTCCAAAGGAGTCATTTTGGTTTGGAAGTGTACTTTCAAGGGATATATTCACAAGAACAGCCATCATGTTCCAACTAAAGGAGAGCTGAAGATTCCAGTGCCCACATGCAGTGTGAGGGACTGCATGGGTTGTGCTTTACTCTTAGCCTGGTCACCCCTTTGAGGTCTTCCTGCATTAGACCCTGGATTCAAAACCCAGGAAAGGATCTCCAGAGGAAATACAGAGAATTTAAGCCCTAAATAATTTTCAATCCAGCTGTGGCCTGCATCCCTGCACAGTAATGTTAG